AGAGACGATAAAATCACATCGAAGAAATTCGCCTCCGGCTGAAGGCGCTGGGACGCGCGTTCGATACTTCCGGAGGGCGTCCCGACGTAGGGCGTCGGATTTCACGTCGTCTTCCGCGCGTAATGCACAACGCTCGAATTATATTTCAATCCTGTTTTCACAACGGATCCGAGGAGAGGTGTGCATAAGTGCGTGTAATTGAATGAAAATAAAATTAATAGAGTTAAAACAGGATCATTGTGATACAAATCAAATAGGACCGAGAACGCCCGAATTTTAGGCCCGAGCGGGATGCAGGTGTAACCGAGTAATTTTAATTTAACTGGAGCAACAGCTGCGCGCGCAGCTTAATTATTTTTTCGTGTTTTCTTACGACATTTTTTACGCGGAACAAACAGTTAAAAAGCTTAACCGATGAGAAACGCGACACGTTAAACGCGTTAACGAGTGAAGTGAAGTATGACACGAATCCAAAAGAGAAGTGAAGCGCACCGCGCTTCGAGAAAACCAATCGACCTCGCGGAAACGAGACTTCGACTGTTCGATATTAACAACATTCACGCCGGTAGCATCTCTTTTTTAGAAAGAAGAAGAAATATGTGACCGTTTTCCACCTGTTCTGCGCGCCGTTACTTTCGGATTTCACGTAACACAGTTTCGTTTAGGTGGAATCATTGTCGTCAGCAAATTGGCGCGTTCTAAATCGACAAACGATTTATAATTATTACAAAAATGCTATACTTAGCATTTAATACAACACCCCCCCCTCTCCCCGTACTGTAAATAAAATGAAGATCACGGATGCTGGGTGGTTCATATAAACGAATAACAACGTGGCGGCGGGGTAGGTGATAGCTATATCGGTGATAAATTAATGATGACAACAACTGTTTCGCAGCAAATCTTTCATCGCGTGAAACATAGTCGATCTTTCAAGAGTGTTGCGTGGAAATCCATCAGCGGGCCATGAAAAATGAGGGTTCGACCAGCGGCGATTCCTTGCGCGCGTTCGATGCGTTTTACACACAGACGAATGGACAAACGGCCGAGCTTATTGACGATTTATCACACGCGGCTCGCGCGTTTGTCGCTCTCGTGTGTAGATAGCGGCGTTATCGATTCCGTTGCAATATTCGACGAGCGCGGGCCCGATGACGTGGAAGCACTTCATTAACGCGCCGGGAATCCTCAGTGGTGAACGCGCGATGAAAAGTTTACGACATAAACTCTAAGCTACACGCGGGAAAGAAAGTGCGATGGAAAGAGAGGAAAGAGTGGGAGGGAAAGAGAGAGATAGATGTAATTTACGAGGACCATGGCGGGTGTCGGAGACAGCGATTAATTATGTCTGTGCAGAGGCGCCTGGTATTCGCGTCGCGGGTCTCCTTAAACTAAAGGGCACTTTTGTTTCGCCCATCGTCGCCGAGAGCTCGTGCCTGGCCTCTTTTGCCGGCCAGGTTCTTCGTTACCGAAGAAAGAAGATAAAGATGCGTCAACCTACGCGGTAAAAGTGCCGATTGCGATATCTTTGGGAGGGGGAGGGGGGGAGATATTTTCAAAATTGCAGATGACAAGTGTACGTTTATCTTTTCTTCTAATATGTTGCACCTTTCTTCAACGACAGTTGCGTGACAATTTCTTGTACTGCGGGTCATTAATGCACTAAGAGATATCTTAAAAGCCGGCGATACCGACGCCAGTCACTTTGAGATCAACGTTGACAGGCCAACTAATCGCGACTGATTCTCTGACAATTGAAACTCGCGCAAGCGCTAATTTCGCTGACCGACGAAATTCGCTGTAAAAGGTGACCTTGTAATTTTCAATGCTTTTCCGAAAATAACCGGGCAATCTCCGCTAAGTCGATCGCTCATAAATATGTAACTGCTCATTGGGAGATCGTGTTTCGTATAATCAATTAATTGATTTTAAAGTTTCCGCCAGAAAAAAAACGACACGAGTGACGTTTGACTTCGTAAAGTGAATTTCCCGACCTGAGACAGAAACGCGATGAAATCGCAGTTGTAGTTGAACTTCCGCGGTATTCATTATTACGAAACTCTACGATACTCTACGAGAACTTACGGGCACACTTTATAACCGGGGACCACGATATCGCTCCGTTGTCAAACATTGTGCCCTCGTACGTCCATGCGGGGAGTAAAACTTCATCGATGCCGGGCGCCGTCGCGGTTCCCAATGTTTCCAAAGTAACGTCGTCGCGCAGAATCATTGTCTTCATCAACGATAATTAAACGTGTTCCATCGGAAAGTTAAAAATTTGCACTAAACACGCCGTTGAAGGAGAGGAAACACCGGCGGAATATCAGGCGAATAAGTTCTCCAAGTCTTGCGCATGACAAAGATTAATATTTGACCAAATGCAATCACTTCCCTTAATAGAAGAGAACGAGAGAGAGAGAGAGAGAGAGAGAGAGAGAGAGAGAGAGGGAGAGAAACTGTGCACATTTTAAATAGAAATTCGTGAAACTCTTATTTATTTTGCAAATAAATAAAATGGAACGGATTTCAAGATCGCAAAAGGTTCTACAAAAATATCCTGAAGCGTCTGCAGCACGAGTTCATCTTTTTACCTAAGTTTATTATCTCGATCAAAGGGATATTACGAATCTACTTAAGAAAAGTTTATCTCATAATGTGCGCGTTTGTTGTTTTTCGAAAACTTCGACGAAACACTACGCGTTGCTCTTCGTCGATTTCGATAAAATTTGCAGCAACAGCTCGGCTTCAAAGTTCCATTCGGCTCCGCGCGTGTTAATTAAATCTTGTAGATAACGTTTTCCCGAGTCGAAATTTTGGCCCCATGTTGAACCTTTAATTCTATTATATAGCAGGACCTAAGACAGTATAAAAGAGGTCGAACTGCAAGTACAAAATTTACTTGTACTTAAAAATTGATAGTGCCGGAAATTTCTACTTTTGCCAATTCAGCATTAAAGTAGGTCCTTTTAAGTGGGAGCTAAAGTAAATTTTTAGAATTAAAGATTCACGGGAGGAGTAAAAAAAATATAAAGTCATCAAAGTAGGTTATTGCCGGTCTATGTAGGTGTACAGGTCAGCTAAGTAGGTGTAAATTATCCGTAAAAGTGTCAAAATAGTACCCGAATTTCGACCCTGGTTCCCCAGCGTTGTTTTATCGAAACAGGCGAAGTGCAGCGCGTAGGTGTCGTCGTCTCCTTGTTAGTGCGTTACATCGGCACGGTTTTCAGCGGAACGCGTGCACTCGCTACGCGCCATTGCCGCACGCCGGGGACCACCCGGGGCACCGCCGCTATCGTCGGAAAAATTCATCCCTCACGCGCGATGCGCCACAAAAAGAGGAAACGAGCGGAGCGGGAAAGAAAAACGGCCGGAGCGCCGCGGATGACCGGGTGCGCGCGATGCCGAGTGGTGCGCGGGCACCGCGCGACATCTCGGGCCATTAGCGGCTCGCTGACCCCACCCACGGTGTTGTCTAGATGAAGTTTCATTTCCCGCGGGCGCCGAGAGAGAGAGAAAAAAAACTAAGAGAGCCGGTGGCGGAGGGAAAAGGTCGGCGCGAAACTTTGAGAGCGTCCGGATTTTGCGGCGCGCTTCACGATCCTTTCAGCCATAAGTTTGTCCCGGGTTCTATCACGGTCGTACATACTGGACGCACTCCGGCAATCTCTACGAGGCGTCAAATCGCACTTAGTACGGCGTTCCTCGATATTGATGTTTGCCCGCTTGTCTCTCGAGTACAGTCGGCGGTTTGGCAGAATTTAACGCGCGGTTTAACCACAGTACAACTAGTCTGCCAGTGACGCACCGATGCACGCATACTACTTTGTTTGCCTAACAGGACACGGCGGAGCTTTTGCCTCACCTTTCAGCTCGAAGGTAGCAGCCTAGTAGTATACAGGGTGTCCCAGGAGGGAAGGTCAATATTCTGGGAGGTGATAGTATCGGTCATTTCGAGCAACAATGTTCATACGAATATACGTCCCATTCCTCACTGTTTCCGAGATAGAGCACATTTTGTTTACGTCCTCGTTCAGATAAAACACGAACGCTAGGAAGCGTTGCACGTTCACGCAATGTATTGAAAACCTTGGAAAACACCTTACGATTCGGAATTCTGCGTGTACGAAAGCGATGAATTCATTGCCCTTGGAGTGAGATCTGTTTAGTGGAAGATTCATTGTTGAATTGTGTAATCACCGTGAAAGAAGATTGTGATTAAATTTGGATGTTGAAAACCTGCTATCTCATACTCTTCTTTGAGATTGGCTTCTGGTATAATAACCCACACAGCACAGAAAGATTGCAGGAAGATTGCAGAAATGTTACATTGCAAGATTGCAATATTGCAGCAACGTTGCGCAACATTGCTGCAACGTTTCTGGGGGATTGCAGCAACGTTGAAATGTCCGCCCTCAGAGAGATTACAGTGCATTATAGCAATGTTGCAGCGCAATATTTTTGGAATAATTTGTTGTTCTTGTACATAAGCAGAGAATTTACTAATTACATATACATCCGGGCCTTTTTCAAGGTATAGCAAGCTTTTACGAAGCAACCTAAGGAGGTTATGTCGCTTCGCAATAGATGGAGATTGCGAGCAACACCGCACTGATCAAGTACTTAATAATTCGCGCATTATTGGTGTCAACGAAAATAACATTATAAAATTCTCGTAATTAGAAAAATTTTTTAAATAGAAAATATAGTATTTTCATTATTTTTGAAACATTGCTGCAATCTTGCTATCGAAAGTTTGCAATTTTATATCCCTGCAATGTCTCGTTGCACTGCAATCTGCGAGATTGCAACGTTTCTACAATGTAACTGCAACCATCTGTGCTGTATGGGAAGGAACTTTCCTCTACGTATAGACACACACACATACACACACACGTCACTGGATTCTGCCCGAGTGCATGGCGGAATACCACGGGACTGAAAAGATCAAAGGGCCGACAGAGAGTGAACATACTAGTTATACCATGGATTAACTGTAGAGATCTAGATCGTTAGATGGTTTATGCGAAGTATTTATAACAAAAATTGAATATTTATTACACGCGGGGCAAGATTATTCTCTATACAATAATTAAGTGAGAGAGAGCCACGCCTGGCTTCCTTACGACGTGAATATCTTACGCGGGCCGAGGGAAAAGTGATGGCGCATTCGCTAATTGTTGTCCGCTTGAATTACGGCGCGTTCGGTAATTTAATTGATAATAAGCCCCCACGGGATCACACGACGCTGCGGTGCATTAAAGCAAATTAATGAGTGAGTCCTGCGGGAGCCGGGACGGCCCGCTTTGTTTATCGATACCGAAGATATTCGGGCTATGCGGCCGTGACATTTTCGCGCGTACCCGCGAAATCGCGCCGGCAAATAAAAGCGGACGGTACGGAGGATTAAAAGCGCGCGGAGATAATTCAGGTTTCACGCACGTGGCACGTTTCGCGCTCGCGCGCGTTGCTTTCTTTCCCGTGAGCCAAGTGTCGATACTCTGTTACCTCGTATTTCGGATTTCTCCCCAAGTTCGTGTTATACCAATACGGCACAGCACGCACGCGGGCGGAAAACGTTACAGATCCATTATTCGATTAAAACTCGCCCGAGGAACTTTCACTCAATTCGATAATTATCGACGTAACTGGTAATACGCCACGTCAAAAGGGGCACGATATTGTACTCTCGTGTTACGAAGAATTTCGAGACTTCGCCCAAGTTATTATTAATCTCGTTCCTATCGGGCTCCAACATCTGGGCCGCGCTCAAAATTCCGAGACAACGCCTGCTTTTAATTAACGCGTCGTACCGCCGGTCCGAGTTTTAATGCGCACTCCTCTGCATGCGATGCACGCGAGATCGACGGGGAGAACGTGAAAAACACGTTTGCTTAGCACTGATAAACTTTAATCGCAATTTCATTAGCTTTTTCCCCCAATTTCGGAAAATCGACCGTCGATCGCCAGCGAACAGCACGGAGCCTGGGCTGCGTCCGTTAAGGTTCATCGTTTCGAGGGACGTCAGATACCCTAAAAAATTACAATTATTATAGTGGGTAATATTGGGACTATCTATTAAAGGTGCTTATTTACGTACGTCAGTAGAGGTAAAATTATTACCTTATACAATAAGTAAACTGCTTGCTTTTAATCGTGAAAATTTTACAATTCTTTGTAATTTTCCATCATGTATAAACGAGTATTTACACGACAAAAAGTAAAAAAACTTTTTGGTAAAAGTACATAAATTTATGTATTTCCATTATTAATAGTGTAATCGCTATACTTATTATGTATGTAATTTACATACTTAATTTTACAGCGTGTCAGCGGAAAGGCGACTTCGACGACGTAGCTTGCTTTTTCGTTTCGGCCACTTCGACCTCGCCCAATCTGCTTCAACTACGTGCGTGTCTCGCTTTAGGCCGATGGCAGAGAGCGATCCGTATACGCTTAAGATTGTCTTAGTCGTAGACGTAAGACAAGGCAGAGAAAAACGTGAGTCGTACGCAATGCAGGCCTTTCACAACTTACGTTTTTCCCTGCCTCACGTCTACGACTAGACCTGTGTCCACGATGCTAGAAACTAAGGCTGATGGCAGAGGACGATCCGTAAACGCTTAAAGGACTTCACACATAAAATTCCGTAAGGACGTAAAACGTAAGCGTAAGAAAATCAACAGATTGGATTTGCTACTGCTTGCGTTATTGCCTTACGTTCTCGACTGTGATTGGTCGATTTTCTTATGCTTACGTTTTAAGTCCTTACGGAATTTTATGTGTGAAGGCCTTAAGACAGTCTCAAGCGTTTACGGATCGTTCTATGCCGTCAGCCTTAGTTTTCCTAAATTCGACACGCATAGAGTCACGGCACGACCATCGCGCGCACGCGATCAAGCGCTTAAACTGTGTCCACACGATCGCGCGAGTATAATTAATTCTTGACCGAAATTACAATCCGCCGGGCCTAGGCATTATTTATGACGCACGGCAAGTGTACACCCGTGATCCAATTATGTTTCTGGAGCGCGTCGCACGGCAACTGCCTCCCCGATTGTGTTTATTGCCCCGTCATCCTCGTCGTGTCTATCCGAGGTGAAAATTAGTACGCGTGCCTCCTTCACGTACGTAGACAAGTATCGAACGTTCCGAGAGGGCTCCCCTCTCCCCCCCCCCCCCTCGTATCCTTGATCGTAAAATGTCGAGAGCGAACGCGGTAAAGTCCATTTACATATCACGCGAAAGGCAGAAGAGATATGAGAAACGTGGCGCACACCAAGGCACACACAATCGTCCCGTGCACATTGCACTTGCACCGTGCAATTAACAACGGCGCGCATACGCGCGCGACCGTTCGTGCACACGCGAGTGTGTAACGGGTTCGTAATAGCGCCGTGGCGGCTGCCGTGACGCCGTGTTTTGTGCCCTAATCAAGCTTGCAGTAAGGCGCAATTGATGACTTGGCGCACCACGCGAGCGGCGTCGGCCGAAAGTGCTTCCTTATTATTCGCGGCGGCTCCTTTTGGACCGCGCGCCGCTCTATTCGTCGTCAAGATCGTAACGCGCGTCGTCGTCATTCGAACGCGCACGACGTACAAACAGCTTCCAGGGAGAGCGGCGCTTTTTACGAAATTCAGCATCGAGTTATCGCCGGCGACCTGTCGAGCTATCTACGTTTATTCGCCATGAACGTCGGAATTATCGTGCAGCAACATATGCGCGATATATTATTAATCACGTCAATACGAGATAATTAATGAAGCTGCGATCGATTGAACCGGCTCTTTGAAACGCGAGGCTGGAGTGGAAAATTTTACGTTTCTCGCTTTCTTCGAGGACTTCACGTCTCCCTGGGCTTCGTTAGATTTTATTCTTGTTTCCTCAATCGACTACAAATACAGTTGATTAAATACGTTCGGCGGCGAGGCTTAGCTGCGTAAATAATTGGACTCCACGCGTGTCTATCCTCGCGCGAGCGGAGGAGAGACCGGGGAGATTTCTCACCGCAGGTGAGGTGATGTCCTTTCTCGCCCGAACGTTTGATAATCAATACCAATAAGTCCGCAGAATGATACATAAAACGTAGTAACAGTCACGGAACAAAGTAATGTAAAATATTAAGTATAGAATTTTCAATTTCGTAGGCGGGACAACGAATTCTCAACGTTCTTTGTTGTTTTTCTCTCGGCACGGTGACGTACGATGTTTTTGCGTGCCATCGTGTACCCGAAGGTCGCCGCGCTACCACTCGCTCGCCGAACGTCGAGCCGGCAAGTAGTGGCGAGAGTCGCTCCGTGCGTGTTATTATTTTTGCGTTATCGGTTTCGAAGACTCGATCGCGATGAATGCAGGGATAAATCGCTATTGATGTGCACACCTTTATCAGTAACAAGTAACGTTCCACGATTAATTATTAAGTTTCTACAACTTGTAGTGAGAAACAAATTGCATGTTGAGACGACGGCTCTTTATCAACGCATACATAGATATTTCACGAGACTAACTCATCTAAAATATTAATGTAAACCGTAGTACTTTGTCGCGGTTACATCTCGTTTACGCATCGCGCTTTTAATTATCTATCGATTACGTGTAATCTGTTCTATTTTTGGGAAAAGAGAGAAATTCGTACGACTTCGGCGCTCGCGCTGTAATTCGCGCTGTCGTTCTTCGCAACTCGAACGGGCAGGAAGTAAAGAACGTCGCTTATCGCACGTCGTTACATTATGTTTTTACATTATGTTCACAATTAATAACAATTATCGTTGGAAATTTCGCTCACACAATTTATTTCGAGGATTAGATTGAATGACAAAGATTGTAAAATATCGTTTCGTTGAGGACTAATATCTACTTCTTTACCGCAGATTATGCTTCCGATGCTCGCGCTGCGTTTTATATCGCCAATTCAAAAGTGATTTATCCATTATTCTATTCTTCCGAATCAAAAATGCAAGTTCGTAGTTTGAGTAATTTGTATGACAGAAAGTCGCGATATTTGTTAATAATATTTCGTGCGTTTCGCGGTATCTCACATCGCGTACGGGAGTGCCCGAAATTTCGCGCGATCGATGATTTTCGCGAGTGAGTGTTGTGTGAGTGCAACAAGGAAATCTGAGAGGAGGAGGAGGCCGAGGAGGCATCGGGCAACGGCGGAAAAATCGTGAGATGAGTGTCTTACATTTTTATGTTATTTGCTACTTGTGTAAAATAAAGCATCTGTTCCGTGTTTTTATTTTATTTATTCAAATGATTCGAATAAGTGTTAGAGGCAAAACCATACGTATAAAATTTTGTGAGTTTATATTTGAAAGGAAGACTGTTTCAGTATTCGATATAATTATTTTAATACATACCTGTTTTTAAATATATAAAATATGAAGTATATTTAATACAATCATTTCGATTTTACATAATAAGTTCATAATAATCATATACATATTTGTATTTTTACAGTTTAACATACCATATATAGTTGACGTACAACTCTGCTGTTGCGAATCGTATCAGTGAGTGATAAGTTACTTTTTATTTTAAATTTACGTTGCGCATACAATTACTTCTTTGCATGTGTACAAATTCTAAAAGATATACAATGCTCGACCACAAACTGCGCGCGCGAAGCGCGCGTTTTGTCATTTCTAGTAAAAAATTAAAATAGAGAGAACAATACGTAGATTTGTCTCGTTCTCTGCCTCAACCTTACTTCTTTCGGCGTGAAAGTGTAAAAATATGAGATTAATATCTCGGAAGTGCCTAGTGATCTCGCAGTTTCACTCGACACAACCGTAATCGAACGAACAAAGTCGCGTGAGACGAAAATGCGAAAAGTGAGCGAGCTCACCCAAAAACCGTAATCGACCCCCTGATTACGGGAGTTCGGAGTCTCCTTATACAGGCTCCATGGTTTGAACGCTCGCCAAATGCGAGCGGATGGGTCCGCAGTCGATCTCGCGGCAACGTATCGCCGACAGCACGGCATACAAACATAGGCCATTACGTAGGACTACTCCATTGGCTGAATTTCCTGGACTAAACCGCGGCCTCGCGTGCACGACAATTCACCGGCTTCGTCACACACCTCAGCCTCGAGGAGACCCTCGGCCGCACGTTCGTCGTTAATGTTACCGTATACCGACAACCGTCATGGTTTGCGGGTGGTCGCTCGAATAACGGGGCCGATTCTCCGGCAGTCGCACTGCTGCGCCTTCTTGGTAATTCGTACTTTTATTCGAGAACTTTACAACTAAAGCTATCAGACGTGCAGCTGCGCCGCACGGCATTTGCATGTAGTTCGTATAATGTTGAAATAGGTGAAACGTTATTCTTATTATTATAACGTTTTTTTCGTTATGGTGAAAGTACTGGAAACGCAGAGAACTGCACTGAGAGAAAAAAATAGTTGCAGTTACCAC